GCCACTCGATGACGTAGTATACTTGTGGCTATAGTGGCTCTGCAGCAGGTTTACTCGACATTGAGAAACGGCCACTGTGTGACTGCTAAACAGAGTGGGGGGTCAGTAGGGGGGGGGGGGGGGGGGTAAAGGGAGTAAAGGGGGAGTCAGTTCAGTCTCAGTCTCAGATCTCTGGACTCCGTCAGATGGTGAGTAACGTCTCTGTTATACTCTGTGTACTTATACTCACTGTTATATACACACTGTGTACTTATACACACTGTTATATACACACTGTGTACTTATACTCACAGTTATATACACTCTGTGTACTTATATTTACTGTTATATACACTCTGTATACTTATACTCACTGTTATATACACTATGTGTACTTATACTCACTGTTATATACGTGTGAGTACACTCTGTGTACTTATACTCACTGTTACTCTGTAATTATACTCACTGTTATATACACTCTGTGTACTTATACTCACTGTTATATACACTCTGTGTACTTATACTTACTGTTATATACACTCTGTGTACTTACACTCACTGTTACTCTGTGTACTTATACTCACTGTTATATAAACTCTGTGTACTTATACTCACTGTTATATACACTCTGTGTACTTATACTCACTGTTATATAAACTCTGTGTACTTATACTCACTGTTACTCTGTGTACTTATACTCACTGTTATATACACTATGTGTACTTATACTCACTGTTATATACACTATGTGTACTAATACTCACTGTTATACTCCCCCTCCTCTAGGGACCTCCGCTCCTCTGGGGGGGGGGGCATGCTCCCCAGGGGAGAACTTTTTAAATATTGAAGTTAAAAGCATGAACCTGGTGCACTTTGAGCACATTCAGAGATCCACGGATGCAGCTCTCGACCCTCATATGAAACAGAACTGTATTTCGATAATCAAAAAATCATTAGAATATGATCACATCCAATAACAAATAGTTTAAACTTTTATTTTATAAAGTCCTCTCTCCTATCTTTATCTTATCTTATGTTACCTAGTCTGCTTTCTTTCTTTGTATGTATGCATGTTTTACTAATCACTTAAACTTTATTATTATTATTATTTTTTTACTGTCCTATAGTACACATTGGAATGATTTCTTAACTTGTGTTTTACAAATATATTAAATAGATAAAGGTATGCCTTGGAAATATGTGTTTACTGAGCTGTAGTTATCAGAGCCTCTCAGTCTGAGCTGTAGTTATCAGAGTCTCTCAGTCTGAGCTGTAGTTATCAGAGCCTCTCAGTCTGAGCTGTAGTTATCAGAGCCTCTCAGTCTGAGCTGTAGTTATCAGAGTCTCCAGTCTGAGCTGTAGTTATCAGAGTCTCTCAGTCTGAGCTGTAGTTATCAGAGCCTCTCAGTCTGAGCTGTAGTTATCAGAGCCTCTCAGTCTGAGCTGTAGTTATCAGAGTCTCCAGTCTGAGCTGTAGTTATCAGAGCCTCTCAGTCTGAGCTGTAGTTATCAGAGTCTCTCCGTCTGAGCTGTAGTTATCAGAGCCTCTCAGTCTGAGCTGTAGTTATCAGAGCCTCTCAGTCTGAGCTGTAGCCTCTCAGTCTGAGCTGTAGTTATCAGAGCCTATCAGTCTGAGCTGTAGTTATCAGAGTCTCTCAGTCTGAGCTGTAGTTATCAGAGTCTCTCAGTCTGAGCTGTAGTTATCAGAGTCTCTCAGTCTGAGCTGTAGTTATCAGAGCCTCTCAGTCTGAGCTGTAGTTATCAGAGTCTCTCAGTCTGAGCTGTAGTTATCAGAGCCTCTTAGTCTGAGCTGTAGTTATCAGCCTCTCAGTCTGAGCTGTAGTTATCAGAGTCTCTCAGTCTGAGCTGTAGTTATCAGAGTCTCTCAGTCTGAGCTGTAGTTATCAGAGCCTCTCAGTCTGAGCTGTAGTTATCAGAGTCTCTCAGTCTGAGCTGTAGTTATCAGAGTCTCTCAGTCTGAGCTGTAGTTATCAGAGCTCTCAGTCTGAGGCTGTAGTTTATCAGAGCCTCTCAGTCTGAGCTGTAGTTATCAGAGTCTCTCAGTCTGAGCTGTAGTTATCAGAGTCTCTCAGTCTGAGCTGTAGTTATCTGAACCTCTCAGTCTGAGCTGTAGTTATCAGCCTCTCAGTCTGAGCTGTAGTTATCAGAGTATCTCAGTCTGAGCTGTAGTTATCAGAGTCTCTCAGTCTGAGCTGTAGTTATCAGAGTCTCTCAGTCTGAGCTGTAGTTATCTGAGCCTCTCAGTCTGAGCTGTATTTATCAGAGCCTCTCAGTCTGAGCTGTAGTTATCAGAGCCTCTCAATCTGAGCTGTAGTTATCAGAGTCTCTTAGTGTACTTGTTGTATATGTACTCAGTGTACTGTTGTATATGTACTCAGTGTACTGTGTACTCAGTTGACTTGTTGTATATGTACTTAGTGTACTTGTTGTATATGTACTCAGTGTACTGTTTGTATATGTACTCAGTGCACTGTGTACTCAGTGTACTGTTGTACATGTACTCAGTGTACTGTACACATACAACAGTACACTGAGTACACACTACACTGAATACACAGTACACTGAGTACTCGGTACATTGAGTATATATACAACAAGTACACTGAGTACACAGTACACTGAGTATATATACAACAAGTACACTGAGTACACATACTACAAGGACACTGAGTACACAGTACAATGAGTACACTGAGTATATATACAAGTGGACTCAGTGGACTCAGTGTCCTTGTTGTATGTCTACTCAGTGTACTGTGTACTCAGTGTACTTACTGAGGGTAAAGTATGTCTCGCTGCAGTAATCCTTTAAGATGTCTCAGCAGACTGAAAATACTTCACTGAGCTGCAACTCACTGCTAATATACAGTGCTATATACAGTATTATATACTTAAGCAATAGCTCACGACAGGCCGTGGTATATGCTCATTATATCACAGCTAAGGGGCGTGGTTCGGCCCGACGCGAAGCAGAGGGTCGACAACCCACTGCAGGCAGTTTGCAGTTTGCTTTTCAGCCCAACTGTATACTGTTTATCTCAGACGCGGAGGGATACTGAGTTGTTGTGAAAAGTAACTTACAATTCTACCCGTGGTATACGCTCAGTATACCACGGCTAAGAACCAATCAGATTGCTTGATTTTACTTGTCCGTTTTATAAAGTGCTATATACAGTATATAGAGTGCTATATACAGCAGGCATCCTCAAAGTCCGGATACTGTTCATATGTATTATCTGTATTATCTGTGTTATCTGTGAGACATCGCCACAACGCAACGAGTCAAAATTCTCCGCTATGTCCACTGCAAACATTGCTCTGCATGCGCTCTGCATGTCAGACCTGTCTGTGTGTGTCTATCAACGCATTGGTCCAATCACATTCAGCATCCCGTCAGCGTTTTTCCCCCACCAACAGTCTGCGAATCAGAGGCACAGTAGGGCGGGTCTTCGCGGAATGCGGGTGGGAAAAATGCGTGTGTGTTTAAAAAAAAAAAAGTCAGAGCGAGAGTTAACAGCTCATCTAGTTGCATCTGTACTGTAGCTAGTAGCCTAGTTTCACCTACCAGGGTGGCATGGGGGGCAACTGCCTCCCTAAAAATAGGCCTTGTCACCCCAGCTGCCACCCCAGTTGGCAGCTTTGTTTTGAAAGAAAAGTTGTGGCTCATCGGACATTTATGAGAGAAAGTCTCTAATGTCCGAGTGCAAGTGAATGCAGCACAAGACGCACGTCTTGTAACCCCTCCCCCGGCCCTGGCGCGAGCGTGGAAATATGATTGGCGGCGATTTCATTTGAACGGTACGGCGCAAAACAAGAAGCATTCGGACCCAAGTACTGAAGGAATGAGGTATTTGCGGTCTACAATGACAGAGAAGAGACTGTCAAGTGTGGCTGTACTCAGCATTGAATCAAAACGCACTAAAGCTGTTGATCTTAATAAGTTTGTGAGGCGTTTTGCTGAACAAAATGGTAATCGCTGCATTCAGCTGTAATAGACATGTCAACTTGATGCTCTGCTCACTGATGAGCATAAACAACTGTTAAGATGATGACCTTACGTGTGTAAATATATATTTTTTTTTGTGGGGGTCTGCCCCCAAAAAACAGTTTTAAGTCCTGAGAAAGTCAAATAAGACGGTGTGTAAAACTACACTGCCCAGCCAAAAAAAAAGTAACCACTTTGATTGAACTAGGCCAGTAGGTAAGGACATTCCACTGGATAATAACTGAAGTATAAAAGAATGCATGACTGAAGTGATGGAGACCATGTTTGAAGGCAAACACAAAGAGGAAATAACAGGTCAAATCAAGCAAATCCCCCTCTCAGATTCCATAGCAACCAGAAGAACATAAATACTGGCTGGTGATTTGATTAATCAGCTTTGTGATGGAATAAAAAATGCACAGTGCATTTCCTTAGCTGTGGATGAGTCCACTGACACCACTGACAATGCTCAGTTGCTGGTGTTTGTGAGTTTTTATGATGAGGCAAAGGGGGAGTTTGTTGAAGATGTGTTGGGCCTGACGAACCTCAGTGGACACACAAGGGGGCAAGACATTTATAAAGCAATAATGGGAATGCTGAATGAAAGAGGGTGCAGCTGCCTTTATTCATAACTGTGCAGCTCTTACACTGCGACTCTGAGGGATCAAGCACAGACACAATAACAATGAAAACTGCTGCATACAGATTATTTTAGTTTTTGCAACCTCGTGTTAAGAATCTTGTTGCAATTGTTTAAAAGTTTGAATGACCGTAATAAACAGACCTTTGTCTTATTGAAACATTTTTTTTGGACCTTTAAGATTTGTATTTGAGTACCCCTTATATACAGTATACACAGTGATATATACAGTATTAATACATGATGTCTAATGTAATACAGAGTATTATACACATTATATACAGTATACACAGTATTATATACAGTATTAGTACATGATGAGTATTCTCTCTTGTCCCCCTGCAGGTTCAGGAGGGAACTGACACTGAGATCCAGAAACTCCACATATGTATTATATGTATTGTTGTTATTATTTATATTTGTCATCAGTATATAAAGTATTATTTGAAGACGTAGAGAGGAAGAGGAGGATGGGATTCGCTGAGCTGCTGGAGGAGGTGAGACAGTTTCTCTAACCCAGGGGGTGAGACAGGAGGTGAGACAGTTTCTCTAACCCAGGGGGTGAGACAGAAGGTGAGAACGTTTCTATAACCCAGGGGGTGAGACAGTTTCTCTAACCCAGGGGGTGAGACAGGAGGTGAGACAGTTTCTCTAACCCAGGGGGTGAGACAGGAGGTGAGACAGTTTCTCTAACCCAGGGGGTGAGACAGAAGGTGAGAAAGTTTCTATAACCCCGGGGGTGAGACAGTTTCTCCAACTCAGGGGGTGAGACAGGAGGTGAGACAGTTTCTCTAACCCAGGGGGTGAGACAGTTTATCTAACCCAGGGGGTGAGACAGGAGGTGAGACAGTTTCTCTAACCCAGGGGGTGAGACAGTTTCTCTAACCCAGGAGGTGAGACAGTTTCTCTAACCCAGGGGGTGAGACAGTTTCTCTAACCCAGGGGGTGAGACAGTTTCTATAACCCAGGAGGTGAGACAGTTTATCTAACCCAGGGGGTGAGACAGTTTCTCCAACCCAGGGGGTGAGACAGGAGGTGAGACAGTTTCTCTAACCCAGGGGGTGAGACAGGAGGTGAGACAGTTTCTCTAACCCAGGGGGTGAGACAGTTTCTCCAACCCAGGGGGTGAGACAGGAGGTGAGACAGTTTCTCTAACCCAGGGGGTGAGACAGTTTATCTAACCCAGGAGGTGAGACAGTTTCTCTAACCCAGGGGGTGAGACAGTTTCTCTAACCCAGGAGGTGAGACAGTTTCTCTAACCCAGGGGGTGAGACAGTTTCTCTAACCCAGGAGGTGAGGCAGTTTCTCTAACCCAGGGGGTGAGACAGTTTCTCTAACCCAGGGGGTGAGACAGTTTCTCTAACCCAGGGGGTGAGACAGTTTCTATAACCCAGGAGGTGAGACAGTTTCTCTAACCCAGGGGGTGAGACAGTTTCTCTAACCCAGGAGGTGAGACAGGAGGTGAGACAGTTTCTCTAACCCAGGGGGTGAGACAGTTTCTCTAACCTAGGGGGGGAGACAGGAGGTGAGACAGTTTCTCTAACCCAGGGGGTGAGACAGTTTCTCTAACCTAGGGGGTGAGACAGGAGGTGAGACAGTTTCTCTAACCCAGGGGGTGAGACAGTTTCTCTAACCTAGGGGGTGAGACAGGAGGTGAGACAGTTTCTCTAACCCAGGGGGTGAGACAGTTTCTCTAACCCAGGGGGTGAGACAGGAGGTCAGCCAGTTTCTCTAACCCAGGGGGTGAGACAGTTTCTCTAACCCAGGGGGTGAGACAGGAGGTGAGACAGTTTCTCTAACCCAGGGGGTGAGACAGGAGGTGGGACAGTTTTACCTGTCTCACCACGTGTCTCACCCATCTCTTACCACCTGTCTCACCCCCTGTCTCACCACCTGTCTCACCACCTGTCTCACCCCCTGTCTCACCCATCTCTCACCACCTGTCTCCCCCTGTCTCACCACCTGTCTCCCCCCTCTCTCACCACCTCTCTCACCACCTGTCTCCCCCTGTCTCACCACCTGTCTCCCCCTCTCTCACCACCTGTCTCACCACCTGTCTCACCCTCAGGCTGGGGGCTTTGGCAGATATCAATGGCTCCATGTGACTCTCATCAGTTTGCCTGGTCTGATGATGGCCAGTCAGAACCTGCTGAACAACTTCGTCTCAGGAAGTCCCGCCCACCACTGCAGCCTACCGACCAATCACAGCAGCCGATACAACCTGTCCCACTACCAGGTGACCCGTCTGTCTGTCTGTCTGTCTGTCTCTCTGTCTGTCTGTCTGTCTGTCTGTCTGTCTGTCTGTCTGTCTGTCTCTCTGTCTGTCTATCTGTCTGTCTTTCTGTCTGTCTGTCTGTCTGTCTGAACCGGTGATGGATGGATGTAATTGGTAGCTGTCGATGAATGGATGGATGTGATTGACCGCTGTCACTGAATGGATGGATGTGATTGGCCGCTGTCACTGAATGGATGGATGTGATTGGTTGTTGCAGGTAGATGAGAAGCAGCTTCTGAAGGCCTTCATCCCGATGGACTCTTCAGGAAGTAGACTGGACCGCTGCAGGAGGTTTTATTATCAATACCTTCATTAATATATTACTAGTGTTGATTGGTTAACCTCCCTGTGACATCACTTCCTGTTTGTGTTGTTCAGGTTTGTGGAGCCTCAGTGGCAGCTGTTAGCGGCTAACAGCTCAGCTAACGTTAGCCAGATCCCAACCGAGGGATGTTTGGACGGATGGGCCTACGACCGCTCAGAGTTTCTCTCCACCACCGTGTCCGAGGTCAGAGGTCACCATGTCCATCTGGCTAACGCTAACCACGCTAACGCTAACCACGCTAATGCTAACCACACTAATGCTAAGCATTATTTACATTACATATAATTTAGCTGACACTTTTATCCGGAGAGACTTACAGTCGGTGCAGAACCACAACGAATCAAACTCTGACAACAGGAGCAGATACAGTGCATCCAGGAAGTATTCATACCCCTTCACCATAAAGGCCTGATTGGTGGAGTGCTGCACAGATGGTTGTCCTTCTGGAAGGTTCTCCCATCTCCAAGAGGAACACTGGAGCTCTGTCAGAGTGACCATCAGGTTCTTGGTCACCTCTCTGACTAATGTCCTTCTCCCCCGATGCTCAGTTTGGTTTGGGCGGCCAGCTCTAGGAAGAGCCGTTGTGGTTTCAAACATCTTCCATTTGCAAATGATGGAGACCACTGTGCTCGTTGGGACCTTCAATGCTGCAGAAACATGTTTCTGTACCCTTCCCCAGATCTGTGCCTTGATACAATCCTGTCTCTGAGGTCTACAGACAATTCCTTGGATCTCATGACTTGGTTTGTGCTCTGATGTGCAATGTGTCAATTGTGGGACCTCATATAGACAGGTGTGTTCCTTTCCAAGTCATGTCCAATCAATTGAATTGACTACAGGTGGACTCCAGTCAGGTTATGGATACATCTGGAGGATGATCAGTGGAATCAGTTGTCTCTGTCCTGTCTGTCTCTCTCCTGTCTGTCTCTGTCTCTGACCTGTCTGTCTCTCACCTGTCTGTCTCTCTCCTGTCTGTCTCTCTCCTGTCTGTCTCTGACCTGTCTGTCTCTCACCTGTCTGTCTCTCTCCTGTCTGTCTCTGACCTGTCTGTCTCTCACCTGTCTGTCTCTGACCTGTCTGTCTCTCTCCTGTCTGTCTCTCTCCTGTCTGTCTCTGACCTGTCTGTCTCTGACCTGTCTGTCTCTCACCTGTCTGTCTCTCAGTGGGACCTGGTCTGTGGTCTCCGGCCTCTCAAACAGATGATCCAGACCATCTATATGGGGGGCGTTCTGACAGGAGCCATTGTGTACGGAGGGGCTGGTCAGACAGGTACAAACACACACAAACAATACACACACACCACACACACACACACACACACACACACACACACACACCACACACACACACACACACACACAACACACACACACACAACACACACACACACACACACAAACACACACACCACACACACACACACAGTATATGTCAATGGGTGAACTTAGTGAACTCAAATCACAACCTCAGACTCAGACTCAGGTGGTATTCGAAAATAGAGACTTTACTGTTTTAGCACAGTAACAAAACAAGGAAACACAAAATCACTCTTTCAAGGAAAGAGCATGAGAAAACGGGATACGACCATGGAGCAGGCTTGAGCGTAGTCATGAATGAGAAACTAACTGGCACTGGACAGGTTGGGGACTAACACAAATATATACACCAGGGTGAGGGGAACAGGTGGAAACAATCAGGGCGGGGTAACCAATCACGAAACACGGAGACACATAGGGGCGGGGAGCATGGAGTTCTGAAACGAGAGGGGAGAATAACTTTTCACAATAAGACAGAGGGCACAGAACAAAGGGACATAACAAAACTAATATAAAGAATAAACTTTCATCATAAGTTTCCGAGACATGACAGTATATATACAACACACACACTGTATATATAACACACACACACACACACACACACACACACACACACACACACACACACACACACACACACACACCACACACACACACCACACACACACACACACACACACACACACACACACACACACACACACACACACACACACACACTGTATATATATATAAATCACACACACTGTATATATATATCACATACACTGTATATATATATATATAACACATACACACTGTATATATATAACACACACACACGCACGCACGCACACACACACACACACACGAGCTGTGAGCAGCAGCCAATCAGATTGTGTCCTCAGGTATGGGAGGCGGTCTGTGCTGATCTGGTCCTACCTGCAGCTGGGGGTCCTGGGGTGCAGCTCGGCTTTCCTTCCCTCGTACTCCACCTACTGCGCCTTCAGGTTCCTGAGCGGCATGGCTGTCTCTGGAGTCATTCTGAACGGATTCTCTCTGAGTACTGTCTACCTGCTACCTGTCTGTCTGTCTACCTGTCTGTCTGTCTGTCCTGTCTGAACGGAGTCTCTCTGAGTACCTGTCTACCTGCTACCTGTCTGTCTGTCTACCTGCTACCTGTCTGTCTGTCTGTCTCTGGAGTCATTCTGAACGGAGTCTCTCTGAGTACCTGTCTGTCTCTAACCACCTGTCTGTCTCTAACTACCTGTCTCTCTAACTACCTGTCTGTCTGCAAAGGTGGAGTGGATCCCCACCAAACAGAGGACTCTGGTTGGAACTCTCACTTCCTTCTTCTTCACGTTTGGTCAGATGATCCTGGCGGGGCTTGCCTATTGGCTGAGAGACTGGAGGAAACTTCAGCTGGTGGTGTGTCTGCCCCAGTTCCTGTTCTTCTCCTACTCCTGGTCAGTACCTTTCAAAATAAAAGCCTCTGCCCCAGTTCCTGTTCTTCTCCTACTCCTGGTCAGTACCTTTCAAAATAAAAGCCTCTGCCCCAGTTCCTGTTCTTCTCCTACTCCTGGTCAGTACCTTTCAAAATAAAAGCCTCTGCCCCAGTTCCTGTTCTTCTCCTGTTCTTCTCCTACTCCTGGTCAGTACCCTCAGTACCAGTAAAGAGTGTACTGAGGTGTGAGACCGGTGTACTCCCCCCCACAGACATGCAGACGGTTCGCACCACGCTGGCCTGTCTGGGTAAATGCTTCACCTCGGCCTCCTTCACCACCGTGTACCTGTACACAGGTGAGCTGTACCCCACCGTGCTCAGGTGAGCCCCTGTACATATATAAATACATATATACAGTATACATACATTACACAGCCATGCATCATCTCTGTGTGTGTGTGTGTGTGTGTGTGTGTGTAGGCAGACAGGATTGGGCTTTGTTTCCACCATGGCGAGGGTCGGCAGCATGGCGGCGCCCGCGGTCCCTCAGATTTTGCTCTAAGCGCAGGACATTCTGCCTTCCAATGGCCTTTTTCACGACAGTAGTGGCAATTATCAATGTTAACCATGTTGTCCACATCAGTTTTTACCAAACCCAATTTCCTTGGATCCATCCCAAATGAACCAACATCAACAGCCTTTCTACTTCCTTCAAAAACGGTTAGGGCCCCAGAGCGCCCTCCGAACCTGCTCTTATGAAGTAACACAAACTCATCACCTGCCACAGCAGCTTCAGCCGCAGAAGTGACCTTTCGCTCAGTGACATATGTTGCAATACGATCAGGAAGAATATTTTTGAACTGTTCCAAAATCATGAGTTCACACAAATCGTCAAAAGAAGCGATTTCAAGAGCAGTTAACCAACGCTTAAAATGAACAGACAAATCCCTCGCCATCTCCACATATGTCTGATCTTGTTTTTGCTCAAAGGACCTAAAACGCTGTCGATAGGCCTCTGGCACCAGTTCATATGCTCTAAGCACCCGCCGATTTTACTTTACTATAGCTAGAGCTATCTTCCAGACATAAGGAGGAATATGCAGACTGTGCTCTTCCTGTGAGAACACACTGAAGCATCAGAGCGCAGTCTGCATCAGGCCAATCTCTAGCCCTAGCTACACGTTCAAATAATAAGAAAAACGTGTCAGGATCACTTTCATTAAAGTGAGGCAGCAAGCGCAGGTTACCAATAGCAAGGCGATGAGGAGACCTGGTCACCTGTTCACCCAGCCCCTCACCGGACAACGCGCCATCTCTGAGAATAGCCAGACGATGTCCCTCCAAACTCTATCTTGGCTTTCTCAGATTCTTGTCGGCATCCGCTCCACTGTGATTTCCTTTTCAATTCCCAACTCATACTTCCTTTTGTCATGTTCCAGCTGCAACAACAACAATTCCCTCTGCTGCTCAAAAGAAAGTGCACTTGCCTGAAAACGAGGTTTTAACAAAAACCCCTCTTCCTTTGCAGCAAAAACTCCCGTCTCCCTTAACGTCGACACTATGGAATCTTTTATGTTGTCTTTCACCCTCCTATCCCCGACAATAGACACAGAGAAATGCTCAGCAATTAAGAGCAGCTGCTCTCTTGAAAAAGTGCTAAGCAACTCCTGAGACGGAGCTTCAACAAATGCCTCTACGTCAGCCATATTAACTTCCAACGACCCCTCACCGGAACACAACACCGGACCATTAAACCGAGAGATGAGAAAAAAAAAAAAAACACAAAAACAAACCGGACAGATACCACCACGCTTATTATGCGTGATGCGTCCAAAGTGGAACAACACTAATGTTTGATTGGAGTTTCCCCACTAACTCACCATCCCACTGACTAATCTCCTCCCTAGTCTTCATGCAGTTACTTGTGGAGGGTATTTATGCACCGGAGACCGCTGGCCCAGCAAAGCGACTAGCAAGCTAGCAACACTACTGTGACCACGGCCATGCTCCCAAGCCGAAGCTTCAACCACTTTCTCCGCAACACTACACAGCCCGCTCAACAATCCCAAGGGAACCGTCGGTTAACCTGCCAGGGAAAACTCCGCACCGCTCCGCACTGCTCCACCTGCAACGCACCAACAAACCCCCACGAGAGAAAAAGGAGAAAAAAAAACAAAAACAAACAGCTGACCACGGCTAAGAACCACTAGCACCACTCTCCCGAAATATAATACCAAACAAATCAAAGCCTCACAAAGTAATCAAATATGTCCCCAAACAACGATCTGAAATGTCCTTTCCCACAATGAGCCGAAACAAAGAAACCGGCCGCACTGCAAACGCGCTCTCCCAACAAACTTTATTACACGCGCACCAACTCCCAACACAAATCTTACCTATCCGTTGCTGTATCACAGATAAAGAAGTGGACGAGCCCCCAATCTGTCATGGCCTGGCTCTTGGCCATAACAAAAAGCGTGGGAAGGACAAGAACATATATGAAAAATATATTTATTAACAAAAGGTCAACGTAAACCATAAAAAACTAGCACAAAGGGAAAACAAAAAGGCTAAGCGACGTGGCTGCTCCGCGGTCAGGTCCTCTGCGGGAGAGAGAGATCGAGAGATCGAGAGTCTGGCCCAGGCCTCTTAATCCTCCGCCAGCCGTCAGGTGTCCTCAATCAGGGCGTCAGGTGTCCTCAATCAGACGGACACAAGCAGAGGAGGAACATTAAAGGGCCATACACACACACACCACAGGAGACCTTAAAGCAGGGGTCGTCACATGGACCCTGAACCCCCCCAACGCTCTGACCAATCACATGGACCCTGAACCCCCCCAAAGCTCTGACCAATCACACGGACCCTGACCCCCCCCAACGCTCTGGCCAATCACACGGACCCTGACCCCCCCCAACGCTCTCTGACCAATCACACGGATCCTGACCCCCTACAACTCTCTGACTAATCACACGGACCCTGACCCCCCCAGCGCTCTGACCAATCACACGGATCCTGAGCCCCCCAACGCTCTGACCAATCACACGGACCCTGACCCCCCAATGCTCTGACCAATCACATGGACCCTGACCCCCCCCCAGCGCTCTGACCAATCACACGGATCCTGAGCCCCCCAACGCTCTGACCAATCACACGGACCCTGACCCCCCCAAACGCTCTCTGACCAATCACACGGATCCTGACCCCCCACAACTCTCTGACTAATCACACGGACCCTGACCCCCCCCAGCGCTCTGACCAATCACACAGATCCTGAGCCCCCCAACGCTCTGACCAATCACACGGACCCTGACCCCCCAATGCTCTGACCAATCACATGGACCCTGACCCCCCCCAGCGCATTGACCAATCACACGGATCCTGAGCCCCCCAACGCTCTGACCAATCACACGGACCCGGACCCCCCCAGCGCTCTGACCAATCACAGGGATCCTGACCCCCCCCAACGCTCTGACCAATCACAGGGATCCTGACCCCCCCAGCGCTCTGACCAATCACAGGGATCCTGACCCCCCAACGCTCTGACCAATCACAGGGATCCTGACCCCCCCAGCGCTCTGACCAATCACAGGGATCCTGACCCCCCCAACGCTCTGACCAATCACACGGACCCTGACCCCCCCCAACGCTCTCTGACCAATCGCGCGGATCCTGACCCCTCAACGCTCTCTGACCAATCACATGGACCCTGACCCCCCCAATGCTCTGACCAATCACACGGACCCTGACCCCCCCAATGCTCTGACCAATCACACAGATCCTGACCCCCCCAATGCTCTGACCAATCACACAGACCCTGACCCCCCCAATGCTCTGACCAATCACACGGACCCTGAACCCCCAACGCTCTGACCAATCACACGGACCGACCCCTCAACACTCTCTGACCAATCACAGGACCCTGACCCCCCCAATGCTCTGACCAATCACAGGGATCCTGACCCCCACCAACGCTTGACCAATCACAGGGATCCTGACCCCCAACCCCCTCCTTCTTCAGATCTGTGGATGTTTTGTATGTGAATGTTTGATGACAGATGATTTTGTAGTGAAATGAACACAGAAATTAAAGTGATTTTCACAGGAAGTGTGTACTCTGGTGTTTATTGCAGTTCTACCAACATAGAGGAACCAGTACTTCCTGTAGTACTGGTTCCTCTTCAGGTGTAAATATGAGATGTGTTTTGAGGACAAAGACAGACAGTACTTTCCCATAGACCCCCATCAGGACAGGGCAAAAGGGGGCATTGCTCCCTCAGATGTATTCTTTGCCCCGTCACTTTGAGCATCATTCATCCATCAAAAAGTACAATAAATGTCACAATTATTAAATAACTTTAAATAATTATTTCCCCCAATACACGTTACTATGTTTGGATCAGGTATGTGGGGCAGTCAAGCAACGTGTAAGAAAGCCTGAACCCCAAGTGAGCTTGTAGTCTTAAATGTCCCATGTCATGCGTTTCCGGTTATTCCCCGTCCCCTTGTGTTCTGTAGCTTCTGCATGTAAAGGGTCTGCAGAGTCACAAACCCTCAAAGTACACCCTGTAGGGAGTAAAACTCTAACACAGAGAAGACCTGTCTATGCTGCCCCAGAACGCCTCGTTGGACATTTCTCATTTTACATTTGTTTCAAAATGGACCAATCCGCGTACATTTTCAATTAATAGGGAGTCCCATTGACTTGCATAGAGCTCACTGGTTGGTAATAGACGAGTTGGGATCGTGGAGAAATGCTCTCCGCAGACCCATTCTCACAGCGTTTTATACACCTTTTTCTTACTCAATATCAAGCCACACTTATTGTTTTTACTTCGGCTGTGAGTGTTTGTGTGTGCTCAGGATGAGTTTCGCGCTGTCTCGCTGTATCGCCGACCAGGAAACCACACCAGTAAGCCAGCTCACTGAGCAGCGAGCCTCGCAACATCCCGACCAATCAGAGCACACTGGGCTCACAGGGAGGGGGGGGGGGGGGGCAGGAGCTCCAACAAGCCGTGTAGGACAGAGAG